TATAATGCCAAATATTTGAAAACTTTTTTTTTAAACCCACTGAGAAGAATGCAGGCCCAATGATGGAGTAATGCCAATCCTTTTGAGGAATTGCTACAAAAAATACGCTTTCCTATCCCCTCCCAAATTAAATGAAACAGATGTTGGAGTCTATTAAATGAAGTCCTTGAGTCTTTATTATAATTTTGAAAGGCCTGCTGTGTGAAGATTAAAACACGATAGCTAATAGGCACATTTTTTTGGTAAATGCTAGCTAGAATTTACTTTTCATCAAAATGTTTAGAAACATTAACTTTTTTTTGCCATATGTGTGTTTTTTTTTTTTTTTTTTTTTTTTTGCTTGTGATGGTTCTCTTTGCTATTAAAGCTAAAAATGAGATTTTTGGTGCATGAAATGTTTGGTGCTGATGTTGCTTTTGAATGGGCTATAACAACTAGGAGGTTGTTCACAGCCGTCATCATCCTTAACCTGTCTTGTAGTTAAAAGCAATCTGTGAAAGACAAACTCCAGAATTTGTAGTAGATGGTTTTCAATAGTACTTTTTTTCAAAGGAAAACAACCACAATAAATTACTGCTTTTCTGGGAGCTTTTTAGTATTTAGTTATTGACTTATTTGATTCAGACAAGTAGCTGAACCCCTCTTAGAGTAGTAACAGGAAAATTAGATTAAGCATTTTGATTTGACTGCTGTTGAAAATATTCACAGTTCTTGATTTCTGTTAGAAACTATACAAGCATGTTAAACTGACTTGTTAAACTAATTTGTTTGTAGTATGTTTTCGTTTAATGTTAGATAAAATAACAGATTTGAGCGTAGTTTCCTCATGAAAACATGAGGAAAGTCAACAGTGGGTAGTCAACAGTGGAAGTGTGGCAGTGGAGAGGTAATAAAAAGCTGCAACATTTTGACAGCTTCCACCAAATTTGCATTATTTCCAGATTAAAATATAAGGAAATTTTTGTTGTTTCATCCTGATTTATTACAGTACTTTAATTTTGTACATCATCCAAATTGCATGCTATCAACTAAGACAAAGATAATCAGGTATTTGGTAGGCACTAATGCTATTCCAAGCTTTCACCATATATTAATGTGGTAGAAAGAGTATTAAGAAAATTCATGATTTTGTTTAATAAGTGTGCTGCCCTGAAATGTCAGAATATCAGCTTTTATTCACAGTAGCAGAATTACTACTGAAGAGCGCTTTGTCAACACTGTGGTTTTTCACACGCTGTCAGCTTGGCTCCTAGCAAAGGTCTGTGCTTACCATGGGCTTCATGTTCTTTTGCAGCGAGGCTGTTCCTGGCTGCCTTGCTGCCCCACCCAATGCCTTAACCAAGCCTGTAATCTTTAGTCACACTGAAATTTGGTGTGCTTCCCCCCCACACTCATTTTGTTTGCCTTTACTTTGAAGCATTCTTTCCCAAAAGAGAACTTTTGGTTTGGGGACTGACGAGCTTTCTGCATGTATGTTTGGTTTCATAATTGCATAATGTGTGTTCAGCTGGTGTCTTGGTAAGAATGTAATGGTGTTGGTGAGTCTTGAAACTTGTGATATTTAATATGGGCTGCTTTGTCTTTCATGGGTGGTGTACCCAGCCTCTGCCTGCTCACTGCTAAGTGAGAAGTAATGCTAGGAAAGAACAAAGTTGTGAATGGAAAGTGCTTTACACAGATGGTGTGCTTAGGAGTGCCCATTTGACTAGGCTATGGGAAAAGTTTAGCTGGAGGACTTTATTTTCATCTCTGACAGGAATAATTTGTCTAACTTTTTACTTACTTTTTTACTTATCATAAAGAGCTTGGGTTTTGATAACAGGGAAGACATGCATGGATTTATTTACTCATAAACCTCTCTTGTCTGTTTAGGCTGAGATTGATAGTTAATGTATAAGGAGAGAGACAGTCTTGTAAATAAAATTCCATAATATTTTTGGTTTGTTTTTTTTTTTTTTTAAATTATTAAAAACACTGCAGGATATAGGCAGGTTAGTTGGAAAAGCTGTAGGAAAGGAATTAAGTGGAACATTTCTCATAGAAGTAGGAGCATGTAGGTAGGATTGTGGAACATTTCTCATAGAAGTAGGAGCATGTAGGTAGGATTGTGTTTTGTTTTTTTTTTTTTTTTTTTTTTTTAAATGCAAAACATACTACTTTCCTTATTGTAGATTGATGTGATGGTCCGGAGGGGGAGCTAGAAATGCATTTGAACATTTGGAAGATAATAAGCAGGCTTCTAATAATTTTTCTCTGTGTGAGCCAGTGTGACTTTCTGCACTTCATAATGTAGCTGAATTTGTGTAAATTATTATGAAGATACAGAATGGTGCATCTTTGAGCCTGTTGCTTACTTGATGTACTTAGAAGTATTTACTCCAAACAGCCCTAAGATTTGTACAGAAAGAGTAAAATACATGAAAAACTGACAGTTTTTCCTGAGCCTTTTTTTCTTGGAAATGGCTAAATAGTATTTTTTTAAAAGTCAGTTTGGGGAAAAAAATGTTCACAGAAAATTTCAGCCCAATAGGATCTGCAACTGAAAACAACCAGTGGTACTGGTGATGTGAAGTACTGTGGTACCACTATGGAACATCAAGTCAGATTGCGAGTTTCCAGTGGAACTATGAACGTGTCTTTCAAACTTGAAATGGAAACTACTCAACAGAAGAGTTGTCATTTTGCTCTCAGCTGTGTTCTGAATCTTTGCTTCTCTTGGGTGGTTTTTGGTGCACTTTCCTAGGTGCTGTGGGCTGCATCCAGGCAGCCTTTCTACATCCCATTTTGGAAGCCTGCATCTTCTGTTAATTGTGAAGACTGGAATCCAAAGAATTGGGAATGTGAAGAGACATCTTGTTGGCATTGCCAATGTCATAGTATTGGGTACAGCTGGCTTGGGGGTTGAAAAAGAGGAGAGCAGTGGGAACAATTAAAGCAACTGTGTGTGTGTAGATATGAGCCTGACTTTGAGACTGGTGAGACATATATTTTTCATCTGGGCTGATGAAATTTAAAGGACTGTTTCTGCAATTTTATTTTTTCAAGATGGCGGTATTTTAGCTTATTCAGTGTAAAACAATGACTTGTAATAGTTGCACTGTAGAGCTGAAAACATTTTTTAAATGTAACCTTGAAGAAGTGTCCTGTAGGTCTGGCAGTTCCTCAGTTTGTTGATTCAACAGGCTTTATCATGGTGTAGAGCATGTAATTAGAATTCTTATAATAGTTAAGAAGAACTATAGGGGAAACAATATTTTTCAAACTTACTTAAAAATAAGCTGTTCATGAACAAACTATGTTTTTCAAACTTACTTATAAACAAGCTGTTCATCTCTGTGTTATGGTAGAAAAGCTCCAAAGCACAAAACCATGACAGTGTTTTTCTGTGTAAATCGTGTTTGTGTGACTGCTGTTGATAGTTGAAAATAAAACAAATTTCTGCATAAAACAGAAAAAAACCCAAACCCCAAATGTCATTTTTTGTTCCTGTAAGGTCCTTTTTGTCCCTTAAGTCTGCAAAGTTTCCTAGAGGTGGTTGATTTTTTGGTGGGAGCAATTAACAGAGACAGAAAAAATAACAATACGTTCTTGCTGTCTGAACAAATGAATTTCTTTCACATTTACCTGATGATGTGGTAAAGCAACTTGTTTAACACAGATGTATGCATGCTCAGTACAATACTTGAGACACAAACCAGTTTTGAACAGTGTTCTTTGAGTTTAAGATGACCAAAAAGTGTTGATGTAACTAAAACACTACTGCATATGCTAATTTGGGGATTCCATTCTTGTTATTTTCTGTGTGTTTCATGAAGAACTGTATGTACATGTACATGATGGCATCATCTCTTCATGGCTGTGACCATAATCTTTCCAGATCTTCTCTCTGCCTTGCCTTTTCAGTTGTAAGATCCAAGCAGATTTCTCTGTAAAATGCAATATATTAATTCACTAAGATGCTACAGTTCTCTTTTTGCCTGTTAAGTATCTTTGTGAAGCCTTAATTTTCTCCTTTATTTATATAACATGGAATATTTTTTTTTCAGTGAATAATTGTTGTTAAGTAATTCCTTCACAAATTTCTCCATACTACTTCCATTTTATGGTTTTGAATCATGCAAAGATTTTTGTGATCTCTGATAAACTGCTGGAAAATAGGAGCTTTCTGTTGGGACTTGTAAAATTCATGTGGTGTATTCTGTTGACCTTATGAAGAACATAGGGACATGGTTTAGTGAGTTAGCTGGTGATGATCCTTGAGGTCTGTTACAACCTTAACGATTCTATGATATGGAATTAAAAAAAAAAAAGAAATTAAAAGATACTGTCAGTTACGTTGCCAATTCGTAGTACACTTTCACCTGTAATATATTTTTTGTTACGATACTTATTCACTGTTGTCATCATCACTTAATCTTTTGATGTATTAAATACGCATCATCATACTTCATGAGGTCTTATTGGCTAATTTTATAATTTCAGTGAACTGTGACCAGATCAGATGTGTAGTTTAACCAAAACTACTGTGGACTGTAATTTGTTTAAAGTTTCACTGATTTCTGTCTCTAGATTATTTGCTTTGTTGAGATTAAGAGTGAAAGCTTTAGGTTTTAAATATTTTTTAAATTTTTTTTTTTGTTCCTGGTTCCCAGGTCTCCCCATCTTTCATGAATGTAATGTATTTATGTTTTGATACAACACAGCTCTAGGCTATGTTAAAGATTACTTTTTTTGTGATCTAGACCATGTTCTTGATGTCATCATCCCTTTTAGATCTGGAGTCTGCTATTAGATCTTCTGGGCTCAACAGTCCAGTGCATGGAAAAAACATTTTTGGTGGTTGAAGCTGATACTTCTACAAGATCAGTCCATACTTTCCATTATATCACAAAGTATTCTGAACCTGTTTGTCTGTGTGGTTTTTTTAGTTCAAATAGTTGTCAGATATAATTAAATATTTCCTGTTTACATTCTGATAATGTGTTTATTTAATTCAGGGTTTCATATGATGAGGCTTTTATTATGGCCAGTGACCCCTTGGAAGGCTTTCATGAAGTGAACCTCGCTTCGCCTACTACACCAGATCTTCTTGGAGTAAATGAGCCAGGGACTCAGGAACAAACTACCTCACCCAGTGTTATCTACCGACCACATCCTTCTGTTGTGTCCTCCACACCAATCCAGCCCAATGCATTAAATGTTTCTGACCTTCCCACACAACCTGTTTATTCATCTCCCAGACAGCTGAATTGTGGAGAAGCATCAGGTGTCAGGTAAGTTCTATGTGTGTTTTTATTTAAATTGCTGATATTTGTTTCATATAAACTGCTTGCTTTCCTAAAGATATAATTTTAATATTACTTCAGTGTTGTAATATTAAATTGTGTCTATAATGGTACATTCAACACCATTACTGCCATTTAAAAAATATTTATTCTTAATTTATTGTATAAATAAAAAATATATCCCTCTCTTTGCAGCATCAATGTTACCGACGCAGTACTTTGTTCTACCTCTGGACCCCAGGGTGGGTCATTCAATCACAATAATTCCAGAAAGGAGAGCAATAACGCAGAGAGAGAGTTTTTGCAGGGTGCTACAGTAGCAGATGTTGCTGAAGGAAATGAAGATATTTTTGGGTTGAGTACAGACAGTTTATCTCACTTACGGAGCCCATCTGTACTGGAAGTAAGAGAAAAGGGCTATGAAAGATTGAAAGAAGAACTTGCAAAAGCTCAGAGGGTAAGGCTCATTGTCTTGTCTCCTCCTGCTTTTTCTCTCTTCAAAGTGGTTCTAATGTTGAAGAATGATAGATGGGCCAGAAGGTGCAGTGTGAGTCTAGAATTATTAGGATGTAATTATGTGAAGTTATTCTGAATGTGTGCAGTGTCTTAGAATAATTCCTTATAGTGTTTTTTTCTGGTGCTGCTGCAACTTAACCGTGGAAAGCTTTTGCTGCAATATCTGCTTAAACATGCTTTTTCTTTGAAATGTAGACCATTCCTTCGTTTTGACATCTGAGAGTAATTGTCTGTCATTCTATTGTTCCTATGTAAGTATTTATAGATGCTGATTATATACCTCTTGAATCTTCTTTCTGCAAGAGTATAAAGGTATAGCATGTGTCATGGAATATAGAAGTGCTTTAGAACAGGGATACTCATGATGTTTCACTGGGAATGCCTGCATAGGAAACAAGCAATAGAGATGTCACTGGTGTTTTTTTAGAGTATTGTTACACCACACTTCAAATTGAATATGGATACCTTTGAAGACCCTGTGGCTCAATTCACTAATATTTGTAAAGCGCTTTGTCTTGTTTGGATGGATGGTGCTATATAAATGCAGAGCCATTATTTATCATTTTAACATCTCTCTGTACTTGAACTTTTTAGATTTTGTGCTGTTTGTATCTGTGCCCTTTCGTCTCCTCTCCATTATTCCGTTCTGTTTAGATTTAAGCTCATCTTGCCTTGCGTTTGAATTTGTTTTCCTCTGTTTGTTACCTCATCTTGTTGAATGTAGTCTTAATTTCTACCTTAGTTGCGTTTGGCCTTGTTAATATGAATCTTAAATATGGATTCTGACATCACTTCTGTCGATTGTTTTATTGTTGGGTAATTGCTTCCTTTGCCAATATGTTGGTTTTCTTAGCATTTGACCACTAAAAGGAAACATTAACCTGAGCTAAATTTGAGGACCTTGCACCTGAATATATAGTCCTAGCAGTTAAACTTGGAACCTTAGAAAGTAAGAACAAATTAAAGTTTAAACTTTAGAAAAGCTCCTCCTGACAGTATAGCGAACTACATGTAATGTACTTGAAAGCCACAACTCAGATCTGCTACTGTTACCTTGGAATTATCTGAAAATCTTTTTCAGGTGTATACCACTTTGTCTCTTAAAGATTGAAATGCTTCCTATTTCACTCTGAAATTTGTTAAGGTCCTTTTTAAGGACAGGGCATTAAGGCTGCTAGGAGACACTAACTGCATGTTATGTATTTTCAAACCCTTTTGTGTCATCTTGACAAAAGCAATTAAGCACTAACTTGAGACTGTTGATGTCCAAGTTTGTGCTAATTCTCAGCCCATCAGATTGATTGTTACCAGTGCTATGCTGGATGGATAACTAACTTTGTCTGCTGATCTTCCTAAATTTGCACTGTTTTGGAATTGCTCAGTAACACAGGAGTCATGGCAGGAGTCTTTGCAGACTGTACAACAATAAACCCTATTTCTTCTGTAATATCTGCTTTCTTCCACTTGCTGTATGAGGAGCAGTTTTTTTCTATCCCTAATTCATCTCTGATTGCTTTCTTCCAAAAGGCATGGCTGTTCATGTAGGGCTGTGCCCACTCTGTGATAAGCTGTATGTTATCCAGTCTTTAAACTTTTATTTCCAAGTATATTAGCTTTTGTCGGCGAGTACTCAGTTTAAAAATCTGTAGGGGTATAGTTAATAGGTAGTGTCTGTGTATGTTTGCATAATGGTTTTAAATTCTCTGCCGCTGTACTGTTTATTAGGAACAGTGAGAAAAACGAGAAATACAATTTGCACTTGAATTTTGTGAGCTCATTGAGCCTGGGAACCTTACAGACTACAGGCTTTCCAGGAGTGAACAAAGTAAACACAAATCTGCTGTCATGCATTTTTTGTTTGTTACAAATTTTTTACCTAAACTGTATACTGTGTAATATGTGTTAAAGACTGATACTAATTTGTTGCAGTTGTGATCAGAAATGGAACAAGAAAGGAAATGGGAATTTTGAAGCTCAGGGATCCACTATCTAATTTTTTTCATGTCTCTGCCTGCAGTGCAACTTTTTTCTTAATATGCTTTCAGTTTTTTATATTAGAGAATATATGTATACTGTGTAATTGTTAGACATTTAAGTATGGTTCTTGAAGAAATTATTCAGGAATAGAATAAAGATTTAGTCTTATTTTTATTTTCCTTCTTTGCGTATGCATTATATTTTTTAAGACTACAGACTTAATTTCTCAAAATGAACAGCATTGCTGGCAAAATTGTTAAAAAGAGTCTTTCAAAAACCTGTTTCTTGATGTGAGGAAAATATACTTTCTACTTCAATCTGGATTGGTTGCAGCAGTAAATCATGTCATAAATTTGGGAGAAAGGTTGGGTCAGAAGTAATAGCGGGGCAGCATTCTATACTAATGAAACATAGCAGATTGGACATACTTCTGCCTTAAAATGCCCCCTTAATTAAAGTGACATAGATTTTTCCCTCTTTGTTGAGACCATTCAGGTCAGCTTTGCTTATTTTTCACTGAAGACTTTGTTTCTGGTTATATTCTGACTGAAGTGGAGTTGAACAGCCCTTGTTTTAGATGATCTGAATCTTTCTACTTGTTTTGCTACCCTTTTTAAAGTAGCATCAGGAATATTGAGAAGGTGTTAAAAGGCTTAGTGGCTCAGTGCCTGAGACTTACTTCGTCATGCCTCTATTAATTTGCATTTCTTCTGCCATTTTTGGATTGAGCTGTGTCACCATGGTTACAGAAGCTAGATCAACCACGTGTAGATAACATCTGAGGGGATAGTGACGGTATTTTGATATATAGTATTTCTTGATGTGCAAGTTTAATGGAGTCCTTGCAAAGGAATACCTTTTGGTTGCTTTTCATCTTGGGTAACCAGCGTGTTGCATGTTTTCTGGATAGCTTGCTTGTTTCTGAGCCATGGCAGTTCATAGTCATATTTTCCTTTAATTTTTGTGTGATTTGACCCAAAATTGATTTCCTCATCAATCAGACTGTCAATATAATAATGTCATCCACGATTGCAGAGGGAAACGTAGGTTTCCATGTTGATGTTTTCTCTTGGAGTGTTGAAATTATCAGCTGTCACTGATGGTTGGCCCTCTCCTCTCATGAGGAGAGCAGTCTACCAGAAATGTTGGTTGCAAATACCATATTCAGTTTGCGAATGAATTCCATGCTTCCCATGGTCTTTAGAGTAAGATCTGTAGGCTTGTTAGTAACAAGTAAAACCATGTTTGACTTTTGTAGCAGAAGTCTGAATTATTGATATTTCCCTGGTAGGGTGAAATGGAGAGGTTTTCCCCACACTGATACAGTGATTCTTGTGAAAGAGGTGGCAGCATAGAATGTGTTATTTTAAATTTCAATGTAATTTAAGAACCTGATTCTCAGATGTAGCTTTTTCCCCCAAGGTTTCAATTTCTTCATTTTCATTCTTCATCTCAGAAACTGTTACAATTTGATCTCTTGTCTTCAGATCTTATATGTTGATACAGGTTTTGAAGAAATATTTTTTCCATTGTTCTGCCTGTATCATCAAAGAATCCAGTGTAACAGAGGCTAGTGCCTTTATTAGAGTGTTTCTGCACAGGCTAACACTGGTGGTTGAATTGCTCTATTTTTGCACAGTAAAACATGACATTTTGAAACGCTGTACGGATTAATGAATAAATAGATTCACAATAACTATCCAGGAATTCCAGTAGTACTATACAGTGCATTCAGCATTCTTCAATTTCTCTTGTCATTTGCTTGTAAGTTAATAAGCAATAAAAACGAATAATAGAATTTATTATTCAGAATAATAAATACCAGAATTCCAGAATAATATACCATCCCAAAACTCCAGTGACAAGTGTGCTTTCAAGCTTTTGTGAAACAAATTGCAGTTGAATTGTAAGGCCATTGGCTTGTAGTTCTTAAAGATGGGTTGGTTCTCTGAAGGTGTTCTAGTAGCTCCTTGCTGTCTTTGAGTGATGAAAGGGTTTCAGTTTCCACACCTCCGATGCTGTTGGTAGTGTGAATTTTCTCAGTCAAGGAGAAGGCTACATGCAAGTAAATCAGTAGCATCTTCACCCACACCATAAGAGGATAATTCAGTAGTTTGTGAAATGCTTTTGACTCTGAAAAGATATTCTGGACCTTCTCTCCCATTGAACACCCTTGTAAATGTGGTTGCAAAGGATTAATTTTATGTAGCTTGTTTAACTTGGGTGCTGAGTGAAGACCAGTCAAATAGAAACATGTTCTAATAAAAATACAAACTTTGACAATTTCAGAATTCAGCAGTAACCCACAGTTCTGATTTTAGGTGAGATCTGTAGAAAATCTTTGATCTTTCCTTGATCTTCCCTGTCTAGTTCTGACTTGTTTAAATTACTGAACTAGATGGAGGAATATTGTCTTTCTAGAATTGAAAATATGAATAGTTTTGAATCAGTAATTTGTATTCCTTATCTCACTGGTTCTTTCTAAAGACCCACCTTGTAGTCTGTGAAGATCCAAGTGAAATAAGCAGTGACTCTTTGATACAGGATTTTTAACTTCAAGGTTTTATTCCATGCAAGTTAATTTTTTTTTTTTATTACCTACTTCAGTAACTGTGTGTATGTTGTGCTTTGAGATAGCTTGTCTTCTTCATGTAGTTAGTTTTTCAGAACAGTAATGTGAGAAGGACTGCAGCATGGATGGTTAGTCTAGCACACGTGGTTCTTTTCTGCCTCTGTAATTGTGTCTGGCTGGGAAGTCTTCAGTGCCTTTCAGACATGGGCAGTAGTAATGTTTCTAATAACTTCTAAGTTTTTTACTTTGGGTGTTCTTTATTTCTGCCTTGCTTAAAAAAAAAAGAGCTATTAAACTTGCTTGGCAAAATAATGTGTTATATTATGCTTCTCCTGAATCACGTCATGGAAACTTGCCCAGTGTTTGACAAATCTAACTAAGCAGCCGTGCCTGCCTCGTGTTGTCTCCTTTTTGTTTCGTTAAGTAGCTTTAGTTGTCTGCCTAAATTTTAATGTAAACATCCCTAATCTTTCCAGTTGCAGGCAAAACTGTAATTATCTTTCTTAAAATACTGTATTACCCAAAAGTGAACCTGGGGTAGTTCTACATTCATTGTGAGGTTGATAACTCTTGACCTGAATATTAACATAACCTTCTTTTAAGATGTATTGATGTGTATGCAGCATTTTCCTTACGAATCAGTGAAGTAAACTGAAGGAAATGTATTGATGTATTCTCTGCATTTATAGGAACACGTGAAACCTGATCTTTAAACATTTTGTGTTGGAGTCTTTCATTTTCTTATTAAAATCCATCCTTTATGTGGGAAATACTTTAAACCAACACAAAATTAATAAATTTTGTTTCTCATTTTTTAACCTTTTTTTTCCTCCAATATTTTTTTTCTCTTTGGCTTCCTGTATTCCTTTTTCCTTCTCTTCCCTCTATCTGTAGTTATTTTCCTGCTTTGGTGGTGTTTTGTGGGTGGTTTTTGTTGGTGTGTTGTGGGGTTTTTTTTTTTTTAATTGAGAAATAGGTCACAGTGTGCAGAACAGTAACTATTAAGTAAGAGTTGAGTACTATTTAAGAAATACCATGTTTGGAAAAAACCCCATAATTTAAGTGGTACCTTTAAAAATGTTAAAGGGTTGTATATGGAAAGCAAAAAAATGAAAATAGCAAACAGATTAGACTACAAATCAGTCAAAATGTCCAAAGTTAAAACCAAATAAAAGGGTGAAATAATGCCTGTGATACTAAATGGGTTTAGAACAGTCGTTAAACACTTGTCAAATTTAGGATTTGAAGTCAAACAGGACCCTTCATCTTAGAGGAAAATCTGTTGCCCATTTCACTGCAGAAGTTTAGAGCAAGACCTAATATCAGCATGCTACAAGGCAAGATGTAGTTTCCCACGTCATTGTGTACAAAATCAATCATGAAGACTTCAGGAGAAATACTAACTGCCTCCCAGAAACGCAAGGGAAGCTGCCATTGGGCCTTTTTGTGACTCTGTAGTGACTGGCCTTCCAGAGTTTTCTGAAGGCAGCTGTTTTCTTTACTGGTTTCTGCAGGTTTTCAGAGCAAATCATTGCCACATTGTATCTGGAGTCTTTGATGTGTCAGTGACAGGCTTGGGTTCTGTGTTTTAAGAGTCATGGTAGCATAATAGCTAGCTTGGCAGGGCGAAAAAAAGAAGTGCATGGGGATGGGAGGGGGGTTAGGCCCAGAAAAAATGCTTGAAAGGTCAGAGTGGGCTTTCTGCTGCTTTTCTTTCCCTTACTTTTTCTCTCTGTCACTTTTTCTTGCAAGAGATTCCCAGGTTTGGGAGAGGAAGTCTTTCAAATTCCTTGTCAAACTTCTTGTACTCCTCTGCAAATTACTCCACTTTTCCCGCTGACTTGGGACAGTGCTGATGAGACTGGACATGTGTAACACTTATGCTGCCAAATCTGTGTTAAAATCTTACTGTAAAATGGTATGGTCAGGCCTTCCTCACTCAAATTTTAGCAGTGTAGACAAATAACATTTTGAATTTTATTAAGTTGCTTTAATTTGATTTATATATCTGCATAAACAAGAGCGAGGATATAATTCCAGTGTGATTTTGAAATTCCCTTAGTTGTAAGGAGATATGCAGGAGAATGTTTATAGTAAAATATGATTTAAGATTCTTTTAGAATTGGGGATTGTCTTGAGACAAAGCTTTTCTTGATTTTTTTGTTGTTTTGTTTTTAAAGGATTACTTTAAGTGTCTATTAAGAAACGGGTAAACAGAACTGATTGTCTGTCTGTCCCAGTAATTAATTTGATCTATATTTTAAGTGACTGTAGTCTTCTATACATTCAGAGAGAAGAGCTTTTTTTTACTTCAGAGAATTTTGGAAATGCTGACGTCTAGGTTAGAGATACTTTGATTAGCCTGGTATACTGCTGTATATCAGGAAGAGTAGCTATATGTATATGCAGCATTAATTTAATTTCTTCTACTGTTAAGATTAATATTCTGAAAGGCTTTGTTTAGCAAAGCTTTTATGTTGCTCTGATTTTTTTTTTTCTTTTTCTCCCCTCTTTCTGTGGTATTAGGTTTAAAAGGCCAAATTACTACTCTAAGTCAGAATAAATAACTTTCAATTTTCCATAGGAGCTGAAGTTAAAAGATGAAGAATGTGAAAGGCTTTCTAAAGTGCGAGATCAACTTGGACAGGAATTGGAAGAACTTACAGCTAGTCTGTTTGAGGTTTGTTGGAGTCTTCGATGTGATATACTTAAAGGAAGCTGAGACAGATGTTTTATGTAGAATCAGTATATTGTATGATGAATTTTTCTGCAATAAGCTTGTAAAGGGATTTGTGTCCTGAAGACCTGGTGTGTTGAAGTAGAGGCTTAAGAGTAAGCAGTAGACTTGTCACTTAGATGAAAGAGACCTTGTTGAGCTTGTCAGTCTGCCTAGGCACAAAACAAAGAAGATAAGGAAAATATTCAGAAAGTTTAAAACTATTTAGACTTATTTTTTGGCATAACTGTTTTGAGACAGCTTCTCTGTCTGACAACAAGGCTATCTAGATAAGAGCTAAATTCAGGGTTGCCATGGTGACTAAATAAAAAAAAACCAACAACTGTAGTTCCAGATCAATGGAGGTACCAAGTACATAACTTAAGCATGCTTTCAGCTTTTGAATTTTGGGTCTGGCAGCATGCTACTCCCCCAGACTTGAAACAAAACGTTAATACTGAGTAATGCAGCAGGGTAGAACCTGATCATAAAGTGAGGAGCCTGAACTTTAAGTGGGACCTTTTCATTTGAGAAAAAGGCGGTAGTGCCAGCAAAGATTGTGAGCTTGTATTACACAGAAAAAAAATCTTACATCCACACTTGAAGCAGGGTTGGTTCTCATTTTAGGAATATATATATGCATGTCTAGAGGCTAAATTGAGATACCCATAACTCTCAGAATAAATTCTGTAATCTAGAGATGATTTATATGTTTATCAAATCGTAAGTATTGGTTTTCAGCATATACATAAAGATGCAACATCAGGTATGTTTTAGAAACAGTATTTAAACCTATGATGTTGTATTGGTATAAAAGGGCTGTTAAAACCTCGAAACTACTGACATTCAAAAATCAAATTTCAAACAGCTCTGTGGGTTGGCAACACATTTTATTTTATCATTCCAGTAGGGCAAAGTTACTTAAAACATTTAGCAGTTTCTGTGTGGAGAGAATAAATGGGAGACTGGAATGGTACTTTTTAGCATAAATACTTGTGTATGTTGGGGGAGGAAAATGTTGGGCAGTTATTTTAACTGTAGAGGAATAAAAATAAAATTATCAGTGAAATTTTATATTAATGACCCTTTATAACTTAGAACAATGCATCAGTTTGTTAAAACTATGTTTGAAATATAGAATATTAGTAATAATTATTTGAGTTTTAATTATTCAGAACTCCCAACTGTTGTGGGCATGTCACTTGAATTTTCTTTTGTGATTTGATTTCACTAAGAGGCCCTAACAAAACACAGTGTTGAGGTTTCTTGATTTTTGCACTGGAACCTACATCTCTTGAATTCACGTTTTATTCTGAATCCCATTAATTTCAATGAGCATATAAGTGGATACGCTGGAGCTTATACTAATGTATCCCAGCAGAGGATTGAGACTTGTTTTGCACTGTTGTGTGTATGTATTACATTATTACACTGCAATAGCAGTGTAACGTGCTTTGCTTTCAAAGGTGCATCACTAAGCAGAGACTGCATGGTCAATGTTAAATGTATTTGCACACTTTGTATAAATGTGTATGTTCCCATTCCTGCATGTGTCTGTTGTTACTTAAGAGAATTTTACAAACCCATATTATACAGCTGTGTTGTATGCCAGTGGGAGCCAGATCTTTTGGTATGATGGTGTGTATGAACTTTTTATTTTATTTATATAGCCTCCAGATATGTGCTAGGCGCTTTACAGATATGAGAAGGATCCAATCCCAAGTAATTTAGTTGGTGACCCTGATGTTTCAATATTTGTTGCCTTCAGTAGGTACCAAGTAAGAACAGTAATCTGATCACAGGCGCAAATTGCTGGATCAGGCCCTAAACAAATACATTATGCAAACAAAAGGCTTAGAGGTGTGAGGTAAAAGGATGTTTAAAAAATTCCCAGTCTTTTTATGCTGTCTTCTTTATTGGCTTAACCTAGTTTCTTTACTTGAATCGGTTTTTAGTTCTTTTTCTGTTCTACTTTAGAAATGTTTATTAATCCATAAACTATTTTTAAACTGTTGCTTTGTCTGTTTCATCGATGATAAGAATTTAGAATTCATAGTTGTCTGACTGGTTCCTTCATGCAGAGATTTACAGTTGACTAAAACAAGTTATTCTGGCTAGAAGAAAGGAGAAGTTCTTTAGAATGTGCTACTGTGCCCATGTAGCTTTTGTTGCTACTGGTTGAGTCTTTCTCTTGGGAGTCAAGGAACTTGACTTGTCAGTCACTGAAGCGTGACTGGAGCCTGGCGTTCGTTCCTGCTGAATTTCTGAATCTGGGCTCAGGACCAAGGAGAAGAAACCTGGTGGGACAGTGATGAATCCAAATGATAGATTTATAGGTATTTTTTTGTATGTAACTATTTAACTTCAGATTGTTGCACAACTTACTATTCACAAGTAGCCTTTGTGAAGCAAAAGTATGTCCTTAGTTTTTTTTTTTTTCTTTTTTACTGGGTCTTGTAAATTTGTGTGAAGCATTTACACTAACTAAACATTTTTTTATAGGAAGCACACAAAATGGTTAAAGAAGCTAATGTCAAACAAGCTGCAGCAGAAAAACAGTTAAAAGAAGCACAGGGAAAGGTGAGTTTTTTCTTACTTGCTTTGTCTTTTCACATAGTTATAAATCTAAACTGTGAATCATAAAGATGTAAATAGAGCATTACCTGTATATATTATTAAAATATATACTAAGTTGTTTTGTGTCACCTTGACATATTCTTAAGTGACACCTACGGACACAGCTGGTGTGTCAGTATCATATCAGATAGCCAGCAGATGCATGGGGAGCCAGTGTTGCTACAGTATGCAATTGTATAGGCATCTGTGTGTTAGTACTGTTGGAAGATGAAGTCTTGGAGATAACTGAAAATTTTGTTAAATTATTTAACATATTCATAGCCTAATAGAATATTTCTGTTTAATTACTTCATTCCTTACTCCTTGTCCTCCCCCCAGATTGATGTCCTTCAGGCTGAAGTAGCAGCGTTGAAAACACTAGTACTGTCTACTTCACCTACGTCTCCAACTAAGGAGTTTCAGTCTACTGGAAGAACTCCTTTTAAGAAAGGCCATGCAAGAAACAAGAGTACAAGCAGTGCAATGGGTGGCAGTCATCAGGACCTTACCATGATGCAGCCAATTGTAAAAGACTGTAAAGAGGTAACAGTACAAGGATTGTCCTCCTTTTGCGATAAGCTGTTTTTATTGTTTTACATATAGTAAACCTAGTATATATTAAATCTTCATGTAATACTGACTATTTTAAAGATATTTTTCATCAATGAAAGAAAACTTTTCTTACATACAAATAAGTGGTGATTTTTCTAAGTCTTATTTACCTTTAAATCATTAAGGGAAGATGAGATAAAATTCGAAATATTGTAATTAATAATTTAAAGATGGAAATTTAAAAAGGAAGAATACAGTATAACTGAATGATAAATCCTGGTGGCTTTTTACAAAGTCCATCACCAAAAATTCATAAACTTTTGTAAATGTTTCATAAACTGTCATAGAAAAGAGGAAGAGTAATTTTATAGGTCAACAATGGGTGAAAGAGGCCAAGGAAAAGGCAGAATCAATGATTTATTAGAGAACAGGAGGAGTATTACCACTGGAGTCCCAGAGGTCCCTGTGTTTTTTTTATCTACTGGTGTAACTGAAAATGGAAACAACAAGGTGACAAGTTGGTGCTCAAGTCCTTGGGACGGTAGTATCAAAAAGTAACTGAAGAGTTGAGAATGATCTTATGATACTGAGTGGTTAGTAGAACAGCAAATGAAATTCAAAATCAATAAATGACAATTGAGGCATCTGGGATAAAATACAACTCTTAAGTCAAGAACTACATGCCTGCTAGAAATAGTTACATTGTGCCGAAAAAATGTAGTGTACTTGTAGATAATTCTTTGAAAACACCATCTTGGTGCTTAATGATGGTCAAAGACCCACAGAGCCTTAGGAGTTGTTAAGAAAGGAATAAATACAAAAGCATTATACTGCTGTATAAACATGTAGTAAATGTGTGTGTCTGTGCATGCAGCTGGATCTTCCTCTCTGAAAGGACATAATGTAAATATCATGAAATGTGACATAGGTGGTCAAACCCATGGAAGTATTTCTGTGTTGAGAGAGATACTTGAGGTAGGACAAAAAAATCTATACAATGACAGGTGACATGGGGAAGGTGAATGATGAACAAATATTAATGATTTCTTGTAATAAGAATACTCTGCAAGCTGAAAGGAAAATAATTTTCAGTCAGTACATAATGGAACTTTACAACTCATTGTTACGAGGTAGCGAGATTAAAAATACAAACGTATTCAAAATGTAGTAATGCAGAGTAACAATAGAGAAGCCTGTCAAGGTATGTAGAAGATAAATATGACATTTGGCTTAGGAAGCTTCTTTAACTACAGATTGCTAGAGGTTGGGGGGGCTGTTAAATGAAGATGTCATTTTCCTCTTGTACTGTCCTGCAACCAGAATCTGACTTGCTGTCCATTGTCAGAGGGGTAACAGGCTAACTGGATTTTTAATGGGGTTCACAGTGGCCATTTTTATACTTTGTTTTGCCAGTGGTCATTAAGTGCATTTATACTATACATTTTTTTACTATAAATCTAGAAATTAAAGGCATTTTGCAGTTTCTCTTTCATACTTGGGCTTTAAAAAAACCAACAAACCTTCACATCCTACCTGCCCACTTTCAGTGGTATCCAGGATGTTTTCCTTATTAAAACTGAATCTTTGTTGCTCTTCAGAAAGATGCAAAAAAAAAAAAAGAGGAAAGCTGGGATGGAATCCAGTTAATTTGCAAACATCACACTGAGGTCATGACTATGAAATTTTTAAGTGTTGGGCAAGAGTGAGAAAGGGGAGAAATCTGTTTTGTGTCAATTTCTTGGGGAGAGAAAGTGGTGAATGTGAAGAACATGCTGCAGAAGCTCCAGTCTGCCTGACATTTTTTTTTTCCATTCAGTCTCCTTTCTGTTGGCTGCATAAGGAGACACTTTGAGGCTGATTGAGGCTGCTCAAAACAGGTGACTCTTCCAGTGAGAGCCCAGGGAATCAGTAAAAAACACATGGATTTTCCATCCCTGGGACTTGAGAGTTTCTGCCTGTCTTCTGAGCAGGACTATTTAATGAAGTGCAACGTGAGGTGAGGAAAACAAGACTGCCTCTAGCATGGTGGTTAGGACATAGTTTTAATCAGGGGAGTCATGCCTTCCTTACTCCTTTCGTTATCCAGTGCTTTGTGGTTTTGTTTACTGCTTTTGCTTATTGTTGCCATAAGCTAGATGTTTTTGCATGTCTGGGAGCTGGGTCTGAAACGCTAGTTCTGCCCCCTTCTTGCTAAATATTCTTGCCACTGACTTAAGTTTCCCTTTGCGTGTCATTGTGCTGAATTTAAGTGACTTGGCTTCAAAAGGGGGGCTCAGAGTACCCTTGCTCAGGGGTGTGTAGTGCCCTTGTGGTGTGGGGAATATAGCTTTGGGCCCTTATGGAGAGTCTACTGCCCAGAGCTTTGCGTTTCAAGATGTTGGATGAAGCTGGGTGTACTGTATATCAACTTTCAGGTTTCTGTGCGAAATGTAGATGGAGTTAAGAGTGGCTGTCTGTCTACCCTAAATTGCAGTGGAGCCAGAAGGGTGCCAACATCCCAGAGAAATACTCCCTAGCATGTGGGAGTAACCTCTAGGATAAGTAGACATGTCTAATTAGTTTAGGTATTAACAGGATTTAGGCAAGCTGAATAGCTGCCTGGATCTTAGGCAGGCAAGTAGCATCCACTCAGTGTAAATGCTGATAAATGCATCAGTGTTGTTGAAAGAGCTGAAGTGTTCCTCTGATGTTGTATTTTACTGTAAAGTGAAAACATTAAAATTCAACTCGAATTATTATTGCAATTGGCTGTATATTTAATTGCCGGTAGTCAAAACTTTAATCTACTGAAAGCCCAAGTAAAGGCAAGGAGGAGATACACATGTAGCGCACAGTGTACATTGGAAAGGGAGAGCATGAAGCTGTAGTGACTGAGCAGTTTTTTCAAGGCAGCTTCTTTAGAGGTTGCAGGTTTGGGGAAAATTGAGTTAAATCTAGAAAATGACCTAGTTAATAAGAAGTGTGTCTTAATTTTTAGAATCCTATAGTACAAATCAAAACCAATATTTTTCTGCTGGTGTCTCTTGATTGTACTCATTTTAAAGCCAGACCTGAGATGGGTTTTAAGTTATGGGAAATGTTCCTTCAGGGAGCAAGTTACACCTATTGAATTTCATTTGTACAGTGAGGTTGGTGGCTTAGCAACCAGAACATTTGTGGACTAGCTTAATTAAGATGGTTGTTCCTGATTGTACCTGAGTGTAAGGCAAGTATCTCTCATGGAAAACAAATTTGCCAGTCTAATTTTTATAGGTTCTTAAAAAAGACAAAAGAACTCCCCAAAATGCATGTGTAAAAGAATGACAAAGTGCTGGGAGCTCGGAGAAGGGGTAATGAATGGGGAAAGAACAAAAGACAAAGAGGTTGGTTCAGAGCAGCATGCTGATCTTTTTAATAGGGTTAAAAATAATTTATTTTAATTTTTAGCAAACATTATTATCCTTCTTTCATTATCTCATCTATATTATTTGGTTTTAATATTAAAGATATTTTAAAATTGCAGCTTGGGATATCTTTGGCCTGCAATGTACATCCCTTCCTATAGCTTTAGGTTTGGGTTTTAGGAGTATAGGTTTGCTATAGTACAAGAAAGGGACTTAACAACCAGTTGGAGGGGAAAGGTGCTGAAGTCTGTGTCAGCAGAGTGGCAAAACCAGTCTGAGGAGCGGGATGGCTTTGAATATCCCATTGTTGACTGGCATTAGCCTTTTATGTTGGATTAGGAGTGTGTGTCAGAAGCACTCATCCCCTCTCTGCTTGGCTCACATCTTGGAGCAGTGTTGGTGCCCATAAACAAGATCCTTCTCGAGTAACCCGAAACCAGAAGATGTGCTCTGGGAGCACCTCAGTCTACTCCAGCTGTTGTTAGCCAGCCCATGGGACAGGCTGTCCCATAATGCAAACGTGGATTTTAATAGCAACCTAGTACCAGTTTCCTGAATGCCAGACTGGATAGTTGCCTTCCCATTGCTAAACTGATCTCAATGTGAGGATGACAAAACAAATTTTTTTTCAAAGCAGATAAAACCATCTCTTTCTAACACAGAGCATGCTTATTCCTGGTGTGATTTTATGGGTTGTTTTAGTATTTCTCCGTTGACTAGAGGAGCTGTGAGGGAGCAGGCTCATAAATCATACTCAGGGAATATCCTTGCCTTCTTGCTGTAGCATGGTGTAGGAGAAGGTTTGGGAGTAAAGATGAAAAATTAAAAAAAAGAATATAGTTTTTAAATTGATTTGTATATTGAATTCCAATTTTCCTGTGTTAGTATATTTATCGTGATAAATGTCTTTTTTTGTGTTAGTGTGTGTTTAGTGACAGCAGTGTGTTATATTCAGATGCAGGGTGAACATATAAGAAGCCTAGGATTGTGGTTGTTTTCTCTAGATTTCTCTGCTTTTCTTTAGCTTGCACAAATGGAGATGGAAAAATCAAGAAAAAAATAATTTGGCTTTTTTCTGTTAAACAATCAGTTAAATTTTTCAAAGCTATCCTGGAAGCTTAAGAAATACGTGGCAGGTAATTAGCTTGTCCCTGGTGCTGTGAATACATTACATCTGTGTCCTGAAAATGGTATGTTTTGATTTCCTTATATTTACAGTCTTAGGAAGGTGGATTTAAGGTGTTCCTAGCTGGGGCACAATAGCATTCTTTCACAGTGCAGTGGAAAGCATTTAGTTTTAATGCTCATTGTTTACCTTTGGATATTTGCAAATGATAGACACTAATGTGATGATTGCAATACTAAAATATTTGAATCTTTGTGTGTTCTAGGCTGACCTGTCTTTGTACAATGAATTCAGATCTTGGAAGGATGAGCCTACTATGGACAGAACATGTCCTTTCTTGGACAAAATTTATCGGGAAGATATTTTTCCATGTTTAACCTTCTCAAAAAGTGAGGTAATGGAAATAGTCTAAATGTGGTCACTGACACTTTTCCCTTAAATATTTCAAGTGAAGCCAATAGACTGCATTAAAAGTATTTTCATAGGAATTTTAACCATTTTTGTTGGAGTGTGACAGTTTAGTCTGTGTTAGTCTGTTAGAGTGCTGAAGTTTAGTCTGGGGTACTGAAACGATCATTTTTTCTTCACCATTACGCTGTTCCAAGTATGGCCTTTTTAGTTCTACTCCTTCTGGTGTTACTGCTGTCTGGCAGAATCTGATGTCTGTAGGAATGGATGGTGGGTTTTTTCCTGATATTTCAAAAATACTGTTTTATAGAAATAGTGTCCTGTCACTGTCTCTTGTTTACATAGGGGGCAGTACAGACCAATACATTTGATTTTGTGGACCAGTGTTCTCTCCTATCGGTCAGAGAAGACTGCACGCAGTCTGGGTGTTTTCTTGGAGATGATTGAGTTACAAGAATTAGACTTCAGGATTTGATGTGAGTCAGCAGGGGCAGTTTGGGAATATGGTTTTAGATGAAATGAATTATGGGACTTTTTTCCTTGTGTTATTCCCACACACTCTCCCATACAGAGGAAGGACTGGAGTTTTACCCATCCTGGGAGTATCATGGAACTGATTCCAGCTCCAACTGCTTTACTTAGTTTTTGTTCTTAAGCAGCACTTGCAGGCTCTAGTTGTGATATCAGTCTTCAGGAGAAAGAAACCATATTCTTAGATCCTTATTAAAGTAAGAATAACAAATTTTAAAGCCATCAGACTTGATATTTCTTTTTTCCCAATAAAATTCAACACCTTGCATGGAAAATGCTGTATTTTCAGTTGTTTTCATGTGGCGTTATATTCTTTTCCCATGCTTTTCATCTGCTGTTAACTTGCTGGCCATAAGCATGCATGATCTTTTAGTTAATTGTATACCAGTTCGTCATTGGTGGTGTACAGCATGATATGAACCTCTCCTACTGAAAAGTTTACTTGGTTACTATGGGAATTAAATTGCTTCTGCAGTATGTGTAAGTAGGACATCCTGTTGTCGTTCCCAGCAACTTCATTTTGATTTTTTTTTTCTGCTTCAGTGGTGATATAATTACTATAGATTTGTATTTCCTCTTAAGAAAAGAATGAGGCTTTTAGCAGCTAGAGTCAGTTGTATCAGTTATTCTTTCCAGATGCTGTGCATAGTGACCAACTTCTGTTTTCACTTGAATATCAATAAAATAATGTGCAGTTAAACCAAAAAATAAACTACAGATGTATTGTGTTTTTGAATAATTGGAAATTAAGTTATCTAAATGGCTGAAGTATTACATTAATTCTTAGTAGCCGCTTGTGCATTTGTAGTGTTTTCTGTTGCTTTTGGGAGATGGCAGAGAGAGTATTTCATATGAACAACTTTAATAGTAACATTGTTTTTAAAATATTCAAAGTACAATAGAAAAATATCTTTATTACTCAATAGGAAGGAATCTTGGTGCAGAATTATTTCACTAATAACATAAATTGCACCTTCTTTTAAATCAAATAATGGCTATTGTTGATACTTAAACAGTAGTCTTGGGCAAATGTTGAGTCCAATCAAGCAAAATGAGCATATTTCTAGTGTCTTATGTTTGTGTGTTTATAAAGAATTAACATAAAAAGCCTGAGGAAAATTGCTCTTTGTTTCATGAAGATGGTGTTTTAACTAGACTAGTGTTTGAAAGTTGCAACTGGCTTTTCTATATATCATATTAGCTTTTCTCTATATTGTTCCATCTTCCTTGTTTGAACACCTTTCTAAAGCCATCTTTGTCTGAAAAACAGTGACATAATATTTGCTTGTTTTTTACAAGACAAGGAAGCATGCTGCATCACTTCTTGTTTCCATAGAACATAATAAAATTAGAGCAATTTTTAAAAGTTAACAAAGTTTGTGCTGTATCCAGTCTCTAAGAACACTACATGTACAAATGTATGTGCTATTTGAGCTTATGAGGAATGACTGAAAATACAGTTAGCATTTTAAACAGGCTTGACTACATTCCCAGCTGTAAAGGCAGTTATCTTGCCTCAGGGAGGGCAGGGTTATTTGGAGGGCAGAATTTAAACAGGATCCTGGAAATGGGACTTCTTGCTTACAATTAAAGCAAAATCTCATTTGTAATTGAATTTATTTTTGGTGAGTTGATTTTTTTCACTGTTCCTAACTTTACAGAAGAAGAAATATGTCAATGCTTTAAGGCAATAGATAATGCAGAGCTGTTTTTTAACTGCTTTCTAAATTTCTCTTGCAGTTGGCCTCAGCTGTTCTGGAAGCTGTTGAAAACAACACTCTGAGCATTGAACCTGTTGGCTTGCAACCTGTTCGATTTGTGAAAGCTTCTGCAGTTGAATGTGGGGGACCAAAGTATGTTAAGTTAACAGACAGAGGGGGGATCTTGGCTCATTTGAGATAACTCTTGGGTTGAGAAAACTGCTATCAACTGATCACCTCAGTCAAATTTGTGTATCTTAAACTTTATTTCCTAAAATCTAAGACTTCAAGATTGCTGTTACAATTTTTTTGGGGGGGAAAGTAAGCATAGTATAAGTTAAACTTTAAAAAAGCTTAACATGGAACAAACTTTTAGGATAAATTCCTTTTTTGGGAGAGCTGTTCAGTTCACTTATGATGCATTGACTGCAAAAGTAACATTCACTTCTTTGGAGAAGACCATCTTAATACTTAAAACAGATGCTTTTGAACTAGGGCCTATCACCTGGAAAGTGTCAGGAAAGAAATAGGTATTGAAGTAGTACAGGCTGAATATTGGACATTTAGAATATTTGTGGCATAAGAAATTTAGGACATGCATGACAAAGGTAGCTGAAGGATTTAAGAGGAAATATATAGAGTAGATCCTCTGAATTTGAGCAGGGAGGAATGTAATGAGGCAGGGAATGAAGGTGAAGGTGAGTTTGAACCTAAGCAGGAATTATGCTTGCCTAGCAGGAAGGTTACCATAGAAATTTTGGAATGGTCCTAGAGGAATCTGAAGCAAGACGTGCTGTCAGGTACTGATACAGATGTTAAAGGTAGGTGGGAGAGACTTACCTGAGGCACTGGGGCTTTGATGGGTATGGAGGAGAAGGAAGTTGTAGTGTGCTTTAGTGTATGTCAGGGTTAAGCAAGCAAAGTCAGTGTTAATCTGGAGCCTTCCAAATCTTGAGAAAGCCTTGACTTTTCTGTTGGAGATCTTTTGGACAAGTTGACAATTCCCTTTGTAATACTTGTTTTGACAGAGCTAAATTTTCTGATAGAAAACTTTCATCAAATGTTTTCATCTGGCTCTTAAGATTTTTGTTTTCTTTCTTGTCACTGTTGGTTTTTAGTTCTTGTTTTTCCTCTGGTTTTGAGTTTAAAAGAAAATAAATTTAACTTATTTCACATTTTTTTACTTTCTCTTTAAAGAAGCTGTATAAAATTCAAGTTGTGTTTTATGAGTTAATCTTTGATCCTTTCTAGTTTACAAAATTCAGGCATTCATAAATTCTTCAGCCTACTTTTGTCACCAGAAAACATGCTCTTTGAGCTGTAACAGCCCCTCATCAGAAGGGTCCATCACCAGTAATGGAGGTGATCAAGGGGTGTCGATTTCAAGTCCACTGTGAGCTGTGTTCCATGAATGCAATACAGAATCTGGACTCCAGAAGCTACTGAAACAAGTCATGTGTCATTAAAGAATAATTGGCAAATTGGTTTAAAATCACTGTGGTTTAAGCAACTTTCCTGCTTCTTGACATGATGAAATATTTACTCAAAGCCAGGAGACTCAATTGCCTCATTCATAAGTTTTATGAGATTTTTAACCTATTTTCACAAGTGTAATGTAATTTTTAGTTAGAGATTATGTAATACTTAAATAATTGGCTAGGTATGGATTAATGTTTTAAGATGACAAATTGTAATTTAGTACCTGCTCTGCTCTTGTGAGACCCCACCTGGAGTACTGTGTTTGGATGTGGGGCCCCCAACATAAAAAAGACCTGGACCTGTTGGATAGAGTCCAGAGGAGAGCCACAAAATTGATCAGAGGGCTGGAGCACCTCCCCTATGAGGACAGGCTGAGAGAATTGGGGTTGTTCAGCCTGGAGAAAAGAAGGCTCCGAGGAGACTTAATAGCAGCCTACCAGTACCTGAAGGGGGCCTACAGGAGAGATGGGGAGGCACTCTTTATCAGGGAGTGTAGTGAGAGGACAAGGGGTAACGGGTATGACCTGAAAGAGGGCAGATTTAGATGAGATATTAGGAAGAAATTTTTCACTGTGAGGGTGGTGAGGCACTGGAACAGGTTGCCCGGAGAAGCTGTGGATGCCCCATCCCTGGAGGTGTTCAAGGCCAGGCTGGATGAGGCTTTGAGCAACCTGGTCTGGTGGAGGGTGTCCCTGCCCATGGCAGGGGGGTTGGAACTTGATGATCTTTAAGGTCCTTTCCAACCCAGACCATTCTGTGATTCTATGTATCAATAGGCCAGGCATACTCCTTTCTTCCTTTTCCCATGGTCAGGAAGCAACAAAACCTTTTGTGGTATTGCTTGTAGATAAGTAATAGGTAAGGAATATGCAGTATTTGAGTGTATTTTCACAGCAAATACGCTTTGCCTTATATATGATTACTGGCACTAAATGGGAAACAGGTGCTCCAGTTTTCACTGCATCAGAGTTGCAGTTTCACATTTTTTAATTTTATACAGTGCAAAGCATTATTTTTATCGAAACCATGTACTTAAATAGGTAGTGTAATATGAAAAACTGTAAATAAATGGTAACAAAAACTAGAGTAATGTTTTTAAGGGAATTATTTTATTGCACAGTTGCCTGGGGGATGGGGGAACAAATGCATAAAATAGCAGGTAATAGCCCAACAGCAAAATAAGGAGCAGAGGGCAGAGAGCTCTGATGATAGCGAAGAAAGGTTCTTGAGATACAGAAGTTATTGAATGGTGCCTGTGATGGTGTGTAGTAAATGCTGCCTTAACGAAAGACAGCTGGATTTGCCCACAGGATGTGAGTAATTGTCCCCATGGGGAACAAAGCGCTGAGCTACATGTGTGCTGTGCAGTGCAGAACTGGGTCATTAGTAGTAACTGTCATGCCAGCATGTAACCTGGTGTGATGGAAGGTAACATATAGAAGGTAATTCTACAGCCAGAAGGAAAAGGGTCTTTATTTTCTTAGCATTGAAAGCTTATCTTCTCACAAAAGTTTGACTGAAATTGTGATCACCTTGCTTTAGCTACTATAGGATTTCTTGGATCAGTGGACTGCTGTCAGTCCTCATAAATTGCTATGGAAAATCATATATGCTCTTCAATTTTCTCCTGTCTTACATGGTACTGTGGACTAGCTGCAGGCTAGTTAAAAGGCCTCTGAACCCCTGTTCAGAACCATAGAAGCTTAGTAATTGTTTCACTTTTGAAAAGTTGCTTGTTCATAGAGTCCCTAATTTTGTGAGGTGGAAATGGAAGGGAGAAGAGCCAGCAGCTTTTAAAAGTAATGAAATGGTGGATGGCATGACAACCCAGTTCATCTGAGATGCTGCAATATAAAAATTCTAAATAAATCAAATTCCCATTTTATTTACATTTATTAAGATTGCAGTAAGAGCCGTTTTTTCATGAGATTCATTCTTTTTCTAAAGAATGTTGGAGGAATTTTTTTTTTTTAATTCTTCCTGAAGTGTTTTTTGGAAAGGATTTGTGGTGACTACTGACTTTTCCTTGTTTCCTCAGTACAGCATACTTGCCATACACCAGAAGAAGTAAATTTGCTTATTTTACCATCACTTTTCATAGTGGTAATAGAAAGAATTATTGTCAGCCTGTTTTCCTTTGTCCCAAATTATTTTATACTCTGAACATAAAACATTATTTCAGTTTGGTTATAAATGCAAAGCTGGTCTTAGAATGCATCTGAGAGAGGCTTCAGAGAATTGACTGCTGTTCTATAGGACTGGTGTTTTTTTTTTTAATGATGAAAAGCACCATCAAGCAGAATTTTTTAAAAAATCTGTTTAAATGTTGGCATCAGCTGGTAATTTAAACAGTGTTTATTTTACATATGAAGAGTTAAAGAAATCCCACTGTTCCAGAGTTGTCAAGCCAACTTGAATTACTGAATGTGGAAGTACATGACCAGAGCTGAAGAAAGTTTTAAAAATCAGAAATGCATCATGATGCACCAATACTGAAACAAAATTAGTCCATGTGGAACTCAAATAATTGACCACATAATGTAATAATTGCAACTTGTAAAACGAAGGCAGAGAGTTGGGTAACTGTGCCAATGTAAAGCAATTACATTAATGCCTTAAACACTAGCAGGTGTTTAGACATTAATGTCAGATTTGTTTATTAAATCATGCATACTTTATATTTTGTAGGAAATGTGCTCTCAGTGGACAAAGTAAGTCATGCAAGCATAGAATCAAATTAGGAGATTCAAGCAGTTATTACTACATTTCTCCTTTCTGTCGTTACAGGGTAAGTAGGTTTACTGTGATTTCATTTTGAGTAGTAGATATTTTTTCTGTACCATTATACAAAATTATATTAACCACCATTATTTTTATATGGGTTCAGATCACTTCTGTCTGTAACTTCTTTACATATATTCGATACATCCAGCAAGGACTGTTGAAGCAGCAAGATGGTGAGTAGAAAATTGTATTTGGTGTGTATAAATAGAAGTTTACAGAGTGCATGTGCCTAAAACTTGCTATCAGTGCACAGCGGCAGTGACCTGACGTTACAGGAAAGCTATCTGCTGGTAGTCATTGTTGTAATTACAAGAATTTGGTGATATCCCACCTTCCATAAAGTTTTTTTTAACAACAAATTAAAGAGCAGTGATTTTTAGTCTATCGAAAAACCCCTTTTTTTCAGTAAGAAGTGTTATGAAAAATTCTGTAATGAGAGGTTGTGGTGGGTTAGCCCTTGGCTCGG